ATGAATATACTACATTGATTCTCCTTTCTAGCTAGGTTAAAAAAACATAATAAACCATACTTTTCATTTATGAGTTACAATATTGTTGATTTATGATTTTCTCGTAGAACCCTGTGTTTGATGTAAATTGAAACTAATGATGTAATTCAAATATTTTTTTAAGTTATTATAGAGGAAAAGCTATTATTTCTAAATTGTTTTGTATTATGAAATTTAGAGTATATTTGGAGAATTTACAGAGAATGGAATAAAATGATTAATATTAATGAAAAAAATTGAAAGACAAGGAATACAATGAAAAAAAAATGTCACTCTCTTGTTTAGTTATTTAATGAATAAAAATAAAGAACACTTAACAAAGGCAATTACATTCCCTCATTGTCCCTCTAACTTCGAAGGACAAAATATTGGAGTTGTGCATCATAAAGGGGGTCTTGAAACCACTCCATTTGTTACTTAAAAAAAAAAAAAAATCCCTAACAAATCGAGGAGTATTATTAAGTTATACTCTCAATCCTAATTATAAATTTTATTTATATTTAGTGATTTTAATTTATTAAATATGTGAATTATTAATTACATATCAAATTTGATGTATAATCCCTTCTATCAAATTTGACATATCATTCTTTCTGTCTTCAATGGCCATACTTATTTTCATTTAAAAGTAAACTAGAAAAGTGTTCCTACAGTTGTGCTTGACCAGTGGTAGTACATTCTCAATCTCAAAAAGAAAGCATCAATAATTTATTGTACTCGACCAAAAATATCGAGATTTGATTTATACGACCAAAACCCAAAAAGGATTAATACTGCAACATGCAAGCAACATCACCCAGAAAAACACACACACAACCACAAACACAAAAACACAAACATAAACACAAACACAAACACAAACATAAACAAAAGCTAATTTCTAAGGTCTAGTAGTTTTCGTTCTCTTGAGGAGGAAGCTCATTCAGGTCAAATTCAAAAGTCATTGCATTGCGAGAATCATCATTTTTCTCTTTAAGCGATGACTCCACTTCATTTTTGCTTGTTGTTGAAGGTCGTTCTTCATGGCTATTTGGGGGATAAGGCTCAACTTCAATTTTCTGGACAGCAAAAGGCTTTTCTTCAATAATGTTCTCAGCATGATCATGAGGCCCCTCTTCAATTTTCCCAAACACAAAAGGCTTCACATCGATATTCTGTGCAACAAAAGGCTCCACTTTTGTTTCTTGTTTAACATGATTAGGAGAGTTGTCTATTCCTTCCATTCGTTGGTTTTGATCAAATCCCAAGAGTTGTCGAATACGGAAGCCCTCGTTCCTTTCCACTTTAGGGTGAGTGTCTTCACCTTCTTCTAACACATGACAACACACAATCATCTTCCTCATCATAAATAATAATAATAATAAAAAAAAGCATTCTACATTTTCTTAATCAACAAATTGAAAAAATAAAATTACTCTCTATTAAATCCCGACCAGCAAAAATATAGGGGTGAGAGCAATTTTATAAGCAGTCTTACTCTTCGTATTTGCGAAAAGATGATTTCTTGTATAATGTCTATTGTATTGTAGGAAATAAAATTATCTCCTACACACATAAAAGTGTGTGTAACACTGTAACTTATATTCTTTTTCTTTCTCTTCTCTTGACGTGATGTCACATGAGCCCCACATATTTTTATATGTGTAGGAGGTAATTTTATCTACTACAACAACGTGAGAAACATCAAACTCATAAACAAAGGCAAGCAAAAGTGGTTTAAGATCAAGAAAGTATATTATATGCATGCATTGGGTTTTTACCTTGAGGAACCATTTGGTTATTAAGTCGTGGTTGTAACGGTGGGAGTTCAATATAGATAGAGTCACACAACACAAATTCTCTAGATGCCTTACGCTTGTGACCAACCTCAGCGATGGGTACAGTTTCACCATCTCCAGAAGACCCTTCCCCTTGAATGGTAGTAGTAGCAGCATTTCTCATGGTATCTTGTGTTGAACTTGGGCTAATGGTATCAGTACTCTGTGACTCAGAAATATGAAGGTGTTGGAAAAAGGAGGGGAGAGACTTATTTGTGGAGGAATCTCCTGCAGAGTTTTGCATGGTTAGTAAACTCAAAAGGGACCTTAAACTCAGAAAATATCAAAATGACAAGGAACCCAACAAATTAATATATCATATTTTATACTGAGAGGGTATAGTTACTAGCCAGCTAGGTTTTTCACATGAGATAGAGTTATTGCTGACAAATGTTTAGGAAGTAAGGATTATATGAACGAAAGGGCGCGATACTCCACTTTTTTTTTTTCCTTTTATTTAAGGTGACAAAATATGGAAGTTGCTGCTAAATATAATTAAATGAATTTGCATATATATATATATATATATATTCAATTCGATTCTTGAAGGATTGAGACTTTAAAACATTATAATGACATTTAAGAAAATACCATATATTTGTATAATGTAATATTTATTCTACTTTTCCTCAATGAGAAACTAAATTATCTCTACCTTTAAAAGGATAGATCAGTCCGTATTCAATGCATATGTAGTTAATATTATCTATATATTCTCCTTGCTAGTTTAGAAAAATATATATAGCATATCTTTAATTAATGACCTAGTTCAGGAATGTTCCTTTTTCATATATTTTTAACCATTTCTATGTGTATTATGTATTTTGAAATTATTGATATGATGAATAAATAATTTCTAAGATATTTTCTGATATGGATAAAATATAGTAGGCCCATCAAAAGGTTAAAGCTCAAACACAATAGACCCGTAAAGGGTTAAGGGCCCAAACAATGCGCAATATCTATATCGCACATAAGAAATTAGAGGCGCCATTCGTCTTTACCATAACTTCATAGTAAAGGAAGTGATCAAATAGGTAAAAAGCCACCGCGCTATAGAACCAATACACAAGGGACAGCCCCAACTTGCCACTATATTCTATCAAGATAGCCTGATATAATGGGATAGGGCCAGAGCAATACCAGCTGAACCTGCAGCCCATCTACAACCAATCAGAATATACACTGCTTATCAAAGGCGGTATCTGATTTACTATATAAGCAAATGGTACAAATCCAGGTAGGATAATCTAATTCAAAAAGAATACCACATAAGCCTGACTTTGATACTGATTTTTTTTTTTTTTTTGTAATAACTTTGATACTGATTTGAGTGTCGGAGTGTGTCATTGCAGGTACCTCACAGTCTGGATCATCACGCCAAAGGAGAATCATACCCATCATATCATCAACAACTATCAACCCAGAAAACAGACAACCTAACTTAAAATCTCCTTACATCAATCGTGTGTGATTAGGCCCGGTACATATTGGCCAACCCATATTACGTTGGACTGATCATCCTCCAATTCCAAAAAAAAAAAAAAAAAAGATATCTCTATGAAAAGAACATTTTCCAATTCAATTGGATATTAAATTACGTGATGTTACGTTTCTTTCAAATTGTTTTGTATTATATTTAATTGAAAAATTTAAATTAAAAAAAAAAATTGTATCTTATTCACCTTACCCATTCAAATTTTAGTTCAAGCTCCACCATTCCTCATAATTGATAATCACAAGGTCGCTAAGGCCACCGCAATGGCTCATGGAAAATATACTTGAATTATATATAACTAAAATTATTTTAAGATCATGTAACACAATTTTATTTTATTATTTTTTGAATTAAAAATTTTCGTTTAATTCGTATGGCTTCTATGGACATAGATTACTTTAGCCATTTTCAACTTCTATTATTTATTATTATAAGAAAAATGGCTGAAACTTGTGAAAGTTTAAATTTGACTTAATATGTCAATGAATAATTGCATTTAAAGTACATTATTTTGTTTAACAATTTAAACTATTTTCTTAATATTAATCTAATAAATTGTATTTGATTACATTATTGCTCATGCCACTTGTTGCATTTTATATGATCTGAATACAATATTATAAGATATTAATGTTTCTTATATTGTAAGAGATAATTTTATCTCCTATACACAAATAAAAGTATATGAGATCCATATTTTCTTTTTCTTTCTCTTTTCTTCACATGGCCTCATATGGACACTACGCACTATTATGTATGAGTAAAAGATAATTTTATATCCTATAACATAAGAAACACTAATCTCATATTATAATAGTATATAAAAATACCAACTCCCCATCCCCAAAATAAAATAGCATGTAAAAAAGCACCCGTAGGCTTTTGTTAAGTTGGCTTTTTTGTCACCTTTAACATTTATGGTTTTACCAAATGATTGTAACTCAATTGCTAGCAAAGATGTTGAGTAAGTGAAAAAGAAAGAATCTCAGTTCGATCCTCACATACCACCTTTAGAAGAGAGATTTAAATATCTTCATCCTAACTCGTCCTGTACTTCGAATTAGTCCCATAATCGATTCAAAGAGTCAAAGCTTGTAAGGATACAGAGAAAAATCAACTCGCCTCAAAGAAATAATTAGAATTGGGTTAACTGCACACACAAAATCATGGTTTTGACTTTTTGAGTAATGGTGAACGTATTTTTCTGTGAATTAAATCATCTAGCTTAATTATAAACGAGTCACCTAACCAACTATTTTGGGGTATTTCAGTTTAACGAGTGGTCTCAAGTTTAGGTTTTGAATGTACAGCTATTTTAAAAACTTGGTAGGAAATGCATTAGTCAAGTAATCAATAAGCCAGTGCAGGAATTTCAAAAAAAATAAAAAAACCCATTAACATTAATCTTCAATCAAAACCGATTGAGACTAAACCGAAAATATCGCCAGCTATCTTTCGTTTTCAGTTTTAACATCTGATTGAAGAATTTCAGACTTCATCAGTATTCACAGGACGGAAAGAATGTACAACTATAAATAATCAACGGGTTCCATAGAAGAAAATATATGTAGACATTTTTCTTCTAGGAAATTATAGCGAATTTCCCAATCCAATAACATCAAGTATGGCTACTTTGCAAGTTGTAGATTAAAGACCGCCGAGCATCTACTTGAAAGAGGAGCTCGTGTGAATGTTTTTCTTTTTCCTTAAAAAGGATTTGCAGATGAATATTTTCATCTTAAATTCATCTTCCAATATAAATCCCTTCTCTTTTAAAATGTAACTATGACGCCAATCCTTGCAAACGGGCAAGTTAAAATTACACGTATATGGTACAAAAGGCCCTTGTACTCTTGTAGTTGAATGCATGATTAATAATTGGAGTATTGGATGTACTACTAAATTCTAGATATCATGTAAAAAAAATTCAACATATTTGTTTAAACATAATTCCCATGACGAAAATCGAAGCTAAATCGATAAATATCTCCCACCAGATTCTAGCGTTTGGGATTAGTTGCTAGTCTCGTCCCTTCCCACCTGCCAAATCAGTAATTATGGAGTTATTAAAGTATTAATGTGTATAACCAAAAAAATATATTAACACATTAATAGCATTAAAATAATTCAGTTGAAGATTTTGAGCTCTAGCGCCATGTGCCTAGAACTAGTTTTCATACAGGTACATGAGAAGAAGAAAAAAACACGAAAGGGTAGAAGGGTTAATCACACTATCACAGGTTCAGTCCAGCATATAACCTACACCACCATGTCAATTTTGAGTCCTGACCATTATAATTTGGACATTTTTTATTTTATTTAAATACCCAACAAGGCGCTTGTTGAACACATTTGAGTTCGAAGTGACCAAACTCAACAGTCCACAGAAGGACCTTCACCAAAGGAAATCAGCCAACATTACCTGCTACTGTCCAGTGTTCCCCAAAAGCCGCTCAACTGCTGCGTGAACATTCCCTGATGTGGCAACAAGAGCCCTTATGTTCTCTTGCGTGTCAAAGAATCCCATCTCTTGAAGCTGGGAAAGTTGGGTGGCATACAATTGCTCTGGCGGCTCTGAGAAGCCAACGAAGTCAGAGAGAGCAGTATAAATCTATTCAGAAAAGTAGAAGAAAACACCAATGCAGTATACAATCTATTTAGAAAATTGCAAAACAACAATGCTAACCATTTGATCTGTTCGGAACAGCTAGGCTACCAGCTCCAAGTCCACCAAACATGCTTGATAACATCTCCAACCCCATGTTGTTCAAAGATCCTACCAATAAAAACATTCAATGGCAGTTACCAAATATGCTTATAATTCGTGCTAGCAATCAATTTGCAATTGAATCATCCATCAGCCACATTCAAATTTAAAACTTATTTTATTGCTATAGATGGATGGGGCCCTTCAAAATGTAACAGTAGCACATTTATAAATGGGTCATCGGATTTGGTTGGGAGCAGCTTGAATTTGGTTAGAAAGGATTTTAGGCAATTTCCTTCCTAAAAGGCCACGTCTTTTAAACACTCAGACTCAGCTCGATGACTTATCATCCATCTAATGTCTGAGCAAAGGTCTCGGAGACCTCATAATAGACAAATTTTCATTTAAGTTTGATAGGGAAAAAAAAAACCTGCTACTCCAGATTTCATCATACAGATGCAGAGAACAAGAAGAGGAAATCCAATCACATTATTAAACGTTCCAGTAATCCAAAAATTATAATTCATACTAACTCAAGTACGGGTTGGTGGTGATCTAAAGAGATGGTCGAGCAATCTAAAATTCTGAATTGCCATCGCGAAACCACAGCAAGAAAATATTCCAAACAGACTAACAGAGCATATTTTCTATGAACAGAAACCAAAAAAAAATACAGGGTTGTCTTCATACCAGTGCCTCCACCTGTTTGACCTGGTTCCCTGCAAAAGCATACAACATTAATAGAATGTCAAGCCAGCAACAGATACTAAACATCACAATAAAATTCAAAATGGGCATCAAAATTCAAACCTTAACTACTTATTTAATCACCAGGAAAAATTCAAATTCAAGGGGCCTTGTGTTGTAAGCAGATTTATTTGTTTTTTTTTTTTTTTGGCATAGCAAGTTTAGGGTGAGGAGAGGAGTTCCAGAACGCAAATCATCAACCTCAATGAGAATTTACCATGGGATTCAAATGGAGGACCCAAGTCATACAAGTGTCATGAGAAAACGTCAATCTGGTGAGCCAACCGCTATTGGCTTTGTTATATGCAGATTTTGCTAGATGCCAATAATTTAAGAATTAATGATCATTTAGTAAGAAGAATATCCAATTCCCAAACACACAAGGTCCTGGCACAACATGATATTTTCTTCTGTACAAAAAAAGTTGAGGGAGAGGAGATTGTGCCTCATTCCAAGGTCGGGGCATGCCCACAAGCCTCAGCTGGGGCTTATAGTGGAAGAAAACTTCAAAAATTTTTAAAAGATTCTAAATAATTCTGACGTGGTGAATCACAATGGCTCACATTTATTTGGGTTTTAAAATGACACTTTAATGTGCTATATTTATTTCTCAATTTTCTTGAAAACATAAACGGTTGTATATCTGGCTTGGATCATAGACAGACAAAGAAATTTCCCTCTTTCAAGGATTCTTATTAGACAGAAAATCTTATTTTTCAAGCATAGCATCGGATAATTTTGATCAGCAGAAGTAAGCAAGCCACGACAATAAATATCTTTGGAAAAGCTATAAAATAAAAGAAGGATAAGAAGATGCAAGAAAGCTCATCCAACTAAATGTGGGAAGTCAGAATTGTCTAGGTCCAAGAGCTCAGTTGCAACAGATAAACTAGGGTAAAGCAAATAATTGCATTATTAAGCTACAGGATTGAGACATTGGTACATAACAGTCAAATCAAGTCGGCAAGAATTAATGCAAATTTTTGTAATTTGCATCTTTTCATGGAGTAAAAAACAAATGGCATATGAAAATGAGAATGCCAAGATTGCTCCATTACTTACTGTGTTGATTGTTGCTGACCAAGCTGAGACAGAAGAGCTTGCTGGAAAGACAAGAGTTGCTGCCAATGAGAATAGAACATGCAGTTATGAGAAAATTAAATAAAACAAATGTAAAATTGTATAGGCAAACAAAACAATAAAAACTCTTTATCATAATTAGATCACGTTTGATAAAATCCAATTTTCTAATGCAAAAAAAGCATCAAGGTTTAACCACATAATGTCAAAGTCAAATTTTCCCCAAATGCTTAGCTAGGAGGTAATTGTCCAATCATTTGACCTACGTAGCCCTCAGACCAATTAGATCTGATACTCATTATTTCTTCAATACTAAGACCTCTTAGAATTTATCACAGAAGAAACAAAACGCAAAGTTGCAAACAACTGTAGGAACATTCAAAATCACCATTCTACATAATGTATATAAGTGTATTACTAGTAGCTTCAGTACTGGACCTCATACTAATATGAGTAAAGACATGTACCCAACCCTATGGTTGAGAAAAAATATTAAGCCAAATTCATCAACAGATGCGTAACTCTAAATCTGCCTACCTGCAGTGTCTCAGGTGAGGAAAACAAGCGAAGGAACTCTGGGTTTTGCATCACTTCTCTCAGAGAATTTAAATCAGGCATACCACGCTGCTCAGCATTGACACCAAGAATCTAAAACCAAATAATGTGTTAGAGAGATCAGTCCAAAACATGCAGTACTCAAAGCAAAGTAAGTAAATACCTGATTCATAGTCTGTGGATTGGAAAGGATACTTTGCATCATTTGTGAAATAGCTGGATTTTGCATTAACTGGGTCAATAAAGCAGCATCCGGCATACCACCCATCATACCTTCAAGATCTGGCAGACCAAGCCCTCCTAAACCAGTTGGTGTCTGCTGTCGAGCATCCCCACCAGTAGTTGACCTTCTGGTGTTACCTTCGGCACCTCCAGCTGCAATATTAACATAAATTAAACCAGTACTAGTCACAATCCACTCAAAAATGTAGCTATTAGCTTTAGAACAGACCAAAAACTTAAAATAAGGAAAACAATTTAAAACATTTGACAAAAAAGTGACATTCAGTCACTGGATTATGAGAAGAAAATTATGGGATGAGAACTTACTTCCAGTAGCGGACCAAGGATTAGGAAGCGGGTTAGTATTTGGTATAGGGGAAGTTGTTTCAGAACCAGTAGTCGAGGGATTAGTTGATTGGTTCCTGATTTGGCCACCTTGAGTTCCCAAAATTGCTGCACTATCATTTCCTGTATTTCCAGCCATTGTAGTGGCATTTAAAAATGGTTCTTGAACATTTTCATACATGCGCCTCAGCATGTTGAATCCCTCGGGAGAAGATTCAATGTTGCTCATTGCTCTGTCTGTATTCCTCATCATTTCGCGCATGATCTCAGGGTTCCTTGTAGCTTCAAGTGTCTGGCGAAGAGTGCTGGGATCATTTAGTATGTGTGCCAGCTCAGGGTTTCTATCCATAAGCTCTTGCATCTGTGGGTTATTCATTATAAGATTCCGCACTATCTCAGGATTATTTATTAAATTCTGCATAGCAGGTGTGTTCATTATTTCTCTCACTATATTAGGATTTGACAAAAATGGTTGCTGCATTTGTTCAAGATCTGGAAAGCCCGCTCCAAATAAGCCATTGAGACCACTGTTCCCCGTCCCATTGATCCCTGGTCCAGGGAACAGTGAAGCTCCAAATCCAGGCCCTCCTAAACCTCCACCCTCATTAGCACCAACACCTCTCGTATTGGTTGTTGTGGTATTGGCACCAGTAGTATTAGTTCCACCAGTTGTATTGGAAGGCGCAAAGCCACGAACCAAATGTACAGTGTGATCTGACTCCAAACCTATAAATATGAATAGAAAAGTTTGTTATGTTCACTCATTCAGGAAATACTCTCTGAAACACCAGAGTTTTCATGTGGATAAATCTTGGCTGCATCAAAAATGACTTTCCATGTTACATTTTCACTCAAGAGGAAAACAACACAAACTTTTTTGGCTGCCTAATCCATGCTATCTTCGTAGAAAAAAACTCCACAGATTGCCAGGCAAGTTAATCCTACATTATTGATAATAAAAGCCTAATAAATGCAAACAAGGGGATTATTTCACGCTCTAAAAGAACTCTAAGTGAGATAAATAAATATTGATTGAACAGCATGCAAGTGATAAAATCATAGCATGTAAAAAAATCAGCAAAAAAAAAGACACATAATACATCCGTTTTTTTCAACTATTACATAAGAAAAATGAACAGTGCCAGCAAAACAGGAATCGAAAAACGCTAAATCGCCTCTGCAAACAAATCAGGGTTAACAGTACGCAAAAATATATCAATAATAGCAAGATCGGATGTATACCGTAGCTTTGGAGGGTTTGATCCTCCTTGAGGATCCGACCCTTGTAAATCAGACGCTGTTGATCGGCGGGGATGTCGCAGTTCCGAGCGACAGCATCCTTGAAGGATCCGACGGTGGATTCGAGGCTAATCAGAACGGAAAACTTAGAACCATTGGAGCAGCGAATGTTGATGTTGACCTCGGCGGCTTTAGGCTCCGTCGCACCCTCAGCTGCAGCGTCACCTCCCATGGCGTCCTCGTCCCAAGTAGGGGAGGCGAATCAGATTTCCACTCCCGAATTGAATGCGCAGATCGAATCGAAGAAGAAAAGGGATCAAAACCCTAACCCTAAAACGATTTAAGGAAGGAAACAAAATCGGAAGCGTGCGAATTTGGGCGAAAGTGGTAACTGGGAATTTGAGGATGATAGAGAGATGGTGGCCAAAAAAAAATTAAGAAAGAAAATAGCCGACTGTTATGCTTATGCAATCAAAAATATAAAATAAAAAAGATATAAAGAGAGAGAAAAGGGACCAGCGGACCCTACACTTCATAACCCTCCTAAGCCGGGAAAGAATTGATGTTGGTCTGTTTTAGGAAACTTAGATCCACGTGCTCAACCTGCGCGTGTCTAAAGATGGCAATCGACCATTTTCCCTGCACAACGGGTGCGAAGCGGGAGAACAAGATCAAAATCGGCACGCTCTTTTTAGAGCGCGTGAGGTTTTTTTTTATTGGGTTTAGTATTTAAGATAACAATTTATTTTCTATACACATAAAAAAATATAAAATCCATATGAGAAAAAATTGAGAAAAAAATATATAGGCTTTATATATTTTTATACTATATAGAAGATTAATTTATCTTCTATAATACGAGTAAAAAAAAACCTTTATTAGTATGGGGCGATGTGAATAAATATAAGAGATTGGTGGAAAAATAATTGTATATGTTCTAAACTCATTTTATAAAGCCATGGTTTCATAAATGGCAAACTAAAGAGATAAGAGACAGATCTCTTATCTAAGCCTAATGAATAAGCGATAAAAATATTTATCTTTTTTCCTCGACAATCTCATTCCTATTAGATTTTACACATGCAGGTAATTTTAGGGAAAAGTGTTTGTCCTTTTAAATGACACAATTTACATTCTTTCACTCTCACAAAGAGGTAAGACCTACACCTTTATTTTTTTTTTGTCCATACTCTTTCCTCCTTTATCTATCTTTTTTTGTCACTTAAAATGACATAACTTTACATTCTTTAAAACGATACATATCTTACCCTTCTTATTATAAATAAAACGTCAAGTTTTCAAGGTATATACTTTGAATTTTATATCCTCTTAGTTATCACTACCCATATACCGCACGCCTTGGCTGTACGCGATTATTATTACTATATTAATTATACACAGTGATTTATCATTTTTCACAAAGTCTCTTCAGTAGACTTACACGACCATATTGATCCAAATCCAACATATGAATATTAATCTCGGTTAGACATTCTCAATCCATCTTGATGGATCAGTATCTTTAAAAAAAAAAAAATTGAATGAAAAATGGTTGTTTGTAGGGTCATTGATGAGTCACCTAATCAAATCATCTTGTAATACGGTCAGAAAGTTATGTAGAAATTTTGTGTTTATGTTAAAGGAGTAAAATATCCTATTAGAATTAGAATTATTTTAAGAAAACACGAAGAAGCTAATTGGTTAACCTACTAATTGGAATTAGTAGGCTAGAAATTAAATTAAAGGTTATAATAATATATGTTAGTAATTTGAGTGCAACTTATAAAATTAGTTACTATAATACAATTAGATGGCCATATGTTTTTATTTAATAAGTGAATGATTATTATTTTTATTAGGGAAATGTTATCGTGCCAGAGAGTCTTTTTCCAAACGTTGACCGGAAATGTTGTGTTGATTATAATATTATTTTGCTTTACAGTTTTTTTTATTAATTTCTATTAGTATTAATAGATTACTATATAAATAGTATTTGTACTACAAATAGTAGTAGAAAATATTTTTAAATTTCCATTCCAATTTTCAGGGGCTTGATTTTTTGATGTTGCATAAGAATTGAATTCTCATGTTGTAACTTAACTAGGGGTGGACTCCATATTTATTGGAAAAAAAAAAGCTTTACACGCAAATCGATGAAAAATGTTTTCCCTTAATTTAGAGCAAACTTTTGGTACCACAGTTATAAGTATAAATTCCATTCAAATTTTGTCATTTGGATTATTTTTTTATTTTTTTATCTCACTTTTACGTTCTCTCTCCATTTTTAATTAGTGTTCCCCACTAAAAAAAGGTACCACGGTTGTACCTTAGAAATTTCCCTTAATTTAATACATAAAAACATTGTTCATTGTGAACGACTCTGACTACATGTGCTTTTAGGAGTGGAGCTCATTAACATTACCCTTTTAATAAAGCTTAGCAACTTATTAAATTGATTCATAAACTATTAAAGGAAAAAACAAGTATCATGTTATAGGAAAATTTTCTTGTCATGTTATAGAGACAATAAGTGTGAGATCCACCATGTTTAAAAAAGAAAGAAAAAAAAAGTACAACACAAATATTGATATATGTATAGGAAACTTTGTATTTGTCATGCAACATGACAAATGCAAAACCCACTATTAAATTATTGGAAATTTTCAAAAGTATAAATATTTTGTAATTGTATCTAAGTCACTGACGCCGTGTAGCTAGAGGTCTAAACAGATTAGGCTAGATGACTTAAATAAGTCAAGCCTGGATAAAAAAACATTGCATCTGGTCTGGCCTGTTAGCCTATGTAGGTCCTAAATTACAAATCTGATTTGACCTATATTTAAGAAATAAAAGCTTTTACTTAAGCCTGTTTAATCTTATTAAACATTCAACAATTAAAAAAATAACTAAAATAATATTATTTTATTATTCAAAATTATTAAAATAATAATTTTATTTATTTTATTTAAAATAAAAAATATGATATAAGCATACCTGTAGACTTATAGGTCCAACATGTATAAAAAAATCTATAGCCTATTTTCTAAATAGGTTTATTTAAAAGACTAGGCATGTTCTACTTTACTATTTGTAATAGGTCCAAACTTGGCCTAATATAAGCTAAGCCGTAGGGCTTTTTCACCCTTTTGCCCCTTATTAATTAATTAATAACCATTTTGCCCCTGATTCGAAACTATCTACCAATCTGCCCCTCTTTAATCGACTACCTTGCATTTTTAATCGACTAAACGGTTGTTAGGAGATTTAATCGACTAAATCTCTCTACTTAATCGATTAAAATCATACTGACTTATTTTTTTTTTTGTAAAATATGAAGATTTAGTCGACTAAATAAGGAGATTTAGTCGACTAAATCTCCCAGCAGCCATTTTTTGTCTGTTTTGGTCATTTAGTCGATTAAAAATGCAAGGTAGTCGACTAAAGAGGGACAGATTGATAAATAGTTTCGAATCAGGGGCAAAATGGTTATTAATTAATTAATAAGGGGTAAAAAGGTGAAAAAACCTAAGCCATAGGCCCCTGTAGGCCAGTTTAACCCATTTACACCCCTACCTGTAGCCTTGTAAAAAATAGGCGTGTCAATGTAAATATTTTGAGCTAATTATAATTTTATATACTAAAGAAAAAATTATCTATCCCTATTATTAAATATGACTATCTATTTGAGAACGAGTTATTCACTATGTAATTTTTTTTTATATATATTACTATGTAAAATTTTAATTTGTACGAAAAGAATTAAGTGAAAGTTATATAAATTAATATCATTGGTTAAATACATGTGATAGAATGTAAATAAATTACTTTCAAATTATTCACCTATGCATTGTTATTATGCTTTCTTGTTTTTTTAACTAACTTTGTAACAAATTTTTTCATACCAAACGTTACATTGCTCATTTTCTTACTGTATTCTTAATCAAAAACTTACATGAGTTACTTTCATTTTTTTTTAAAAATAAAATTCAAAATTCTCATAATTATATTTTTTAAATGTATATACATTTTAACCATAGTTTAATTTTAAAAAATATATAAAATACACAAAACGCTCACTAACTGATATACAGAAGTAAATGAAAGTTATTAACTTTTAATATAACTTGATTAGCGATTGATATCGAATATATAAATTATTCTTCACTTAAGAATATAATGCATGAGATAATCATGATTTGTTTTCATAATAAAATATTTATCATTCTTTGTGAAACCATTCTACTCACTCAAAGAAAAAAAATATCAAACACATTTTTTTTTTCATTCAAAATAAATTATACTTTTAAATTTGAGCAAGGTTATAGTTATAACTTTTTTTTACAACCTCTTGCAACCATATCTTATCACCGTTGATTTCTGCTAATCAACGGTTATCATTTTAGCAAATTAAACTTATTAATTAATTATTAATTCACAATAAATGATAACCGTTGATTGACGAAAATCAACGGTAATAAGATATGATTGTAAGAGGTTATAAAAAAAAAAAAGATGTAAGTATAATCTTCCTCTTTAAATTTAACGTGTGTTCTAGAGCAATCGCTGTACATGTCTTGAACCGATGAATAAGGTTATTTTTTGAAACCTATCTCAGACCCTATATAATGGTCCACACTCTACTTCCCTTTCACATGTATCTCAATATCTCATATTCTGGACCCTTAGGGGGCGTTTGGTAGAGGAGAAATTTTTTTTTGTCTGAGAATCTCGATTTTCAAAAATATAATTTTTACATTCAGTCTACAATAATATCTGAAAATTTAAAATTTAGAAAAAATTAATTTTCCGAAAATTCGACCAAAAGCCACGTACCAAACGGACCCTTACGTCATGTTAGCCCTAGCAGATATAGAAGTTGCCGAAAAATTACAGGTTCATAATGATTTTGACACAACGGTTACACACAAGGATCCTTAGAAGAGGAAATCGTTCCTTCTTCTCCATGGTATTACTCTCTAAATAATCAATATCTCCATACGAGAGAGGTCTCAAAATCTCGAGATAACCCTGCTGTTACTTTATCCCATCATTGTATTGAACTCACACTCCCATAAAATTCAGCTATTTACTGAGCTTCAGTATACTCGCACTAATTTGTAGCTTCCTATTTAATACACCACGCAACTTAGTATGAATCAGATTTTTTTGAATAATTTCAGTACATCTGTATTCTCAATATCTCCATTGAAGTTTTGATTCATTCATTCCTTAACCCCATTAGATTTTTTGTAATACTGTAGCATCATTCATTACCCACATGGGAAAGATACACCATTCACACTTATTACCATCTTATGTCAACGTAAACAGAGAAGAAATTGCATGATATAAATTTCTTTTGTAAATAAGTCAAAAAGAGTCCTAACCTATTAATGTGATATTGAGTTAAAACAAATTTAGAGTTAACCATGCAACAAAAAGTTATTTTGACATTGAGAAAAAAAAAAAACAGGCTTTTCCTGCTTGTAAGTAAGATCTTAATCCTTAACTGTAACTAAATTAATGAAAATAACAATCACAAAACGCATCAAAACCTAGTTATTAATTAAAGGAAAAAAGGTTTCTCATCTTAATAGAGAAATTGTCTCCCTGCACAAATAAATTGATGGGTCCCTTCAGTTTTTTTTTAAGTGATGGATCCTACAATATCATGTGTGAGAAATCTATCTCCTTAATTAAATTAAGGTAATGACTAATTATATTTATAATATTAGGGATAAGTTATTTTATCTATTTTTTCGTACTTACCTTATTTATTACTTTCCAACACTATTAAATTAAAATCTCAATTAACTTTTATCATTTTTTCTTCTTAAGATTATAATTTAATAATGTTAAAAGATGATAAATAAGGTAGGCATAAAAAAATTAAGCATAATATCGAATCCCAAAATATTAAACTAATTACGATTTGAAAACAATTACAGATAAAAAATGGATTTTATACTTTTTATGTAGGAAAATTTTCTACACACTGTTCAATTTTCATGTTGAGATAAATATTATACATGACTTTTTTTAATATACGACTCCCCATATTTTTTTATTTTTATGGCATAAGATGTCTGATATCATATTAGACTATAATTAGAGGCAACGTGCAGAAAAAACATTTGTGCCGCTCGAAACGAACTAAAGTGGTGTTCTTACTTAGCGCTGAAGTGGTTTCATGCTACAACAGTGGTTCCCCTCAGAATGAACAACAACAAGCGCGGCGTGCTTGCTCGTTTGAAAACCCTGATCAACTCACAGGTACACGTAACTAACACTACTCTCTCTTCTCTTATTTTGGTTGGGACAATTTCTCAAACACCTTGTGACTTTGGACATCTCTTTCTAAACCCACCCTTCTGTTTGACCTTGAATTCTTTGTTGCAGAGCTTCCACTCTAGTTTGCCCAAAGGAAGAGGACAAGATAAAGTGTCTCCAGAAATAGACCCCGATTACTTGGCTTGCCGAGGTGAATTTGCTTGTGCATTTTATTTTGCTCATTATATCAGCTCAGCACCAGGATTGGAATATTTTTTTTACTTTGGTTGTGGTTGTTTTTTCATCTTATCTTAATTTATTATTTTGGGTTCTCATCAGCCACCGTGGCTGTTATCAAGCAGAATGCATATAAACGCATAGGTAACTTTCATATGAAATATTGAGGGGAAGTGGTTACCCAAAAATCAGTTTTTCATCATGTTATTGATGGCTGTAATGTAATGGTAAAGCAATGTTTTGATTCTGATTGCATATATGTGATTGTGACCAATGCCTTAGTTGAGTATGCGTATCTACATGTAAGACCTGGTTACAATTTTAAGCTGTTGTCCAGGCCGCATTGACATAACACAATGGAAGACTTTGGACGCAAGGAAGCTTGGCATAACTAGATCTATGATTTCACAGCCCTCTTGGTTTGTCCTTAACCTGCTTCGGAGAAAAGGTGAGAAATTTCTTATAACCCACGTCACCCTTACTTAAGGGAGATTATATGCAGACTTGTAAAATATCCTTCTCCTTTTCTTATTCCCTACTAATGATAAAAGATGAGCATTGCCTTCCTTGCAAGTTTATTTTCTTTTTACTTGATTTTGAAACTTTGATCTTAGTAACTGGGTACTCTTACTCTATGTAGCACCGACACGACACGCGACACATGGCATGACACGATATGACACTTTGACATGTTAATCCTAAAAAAATATGAATTTTGACACGTTGGGACACGTTTTAATATTAAATAATATTTTTAATTTATATAGTGATACCCAAGATCCCTTGCATCTACTTGGTCAAGAGGTACCCAAGAAAAATGCTTTTAGATACCTGGGATCTATTTTGCAAAAAGGTGGAGAGATTGATGAGGATGTAAATCATATAATCAGAGCAGGGTGGATGAAATGACATAGTGCATTTGGGTTTTTGTGTGACCGCAAAATCCCCCTTAAGTTAAAAGGAAAAATCTATAGAACAACAATAAGGCCTGGAATGCTATATGGGGCTGAATGTTGGCCAGCACATAGGCAACATGAGCATAAAATGGAAGTAGCAGAGATGAGGATGTTAAGGTAGATGTGTGGTTATACAAGGATGGATAAGATGAGAAATGAAGATATTTGACGAGTGCTACCGGTGGCTGAAAAGATGAGAGAACATAGATTGAGATGGTTTGGGCACGTAATGAGAAGGTCCTTGGATGCTCCCGTAAGAACAAAAGTTTGTTATCAAGAGCTCAACACAAAGAAAGATAGAGGTAGACCGAAACTTACTTGGGGAAGGTAGTGAAGCAAGATTTAATGGATTGTGATATAGATTGGCGGACGATGTGCCTTAGAATGAAATGGAGAAAAACTATAAGCATGGTGGAGGGTGAGATCCGTTGTTATTCCTATGTTCCAGATGGTCCCTTTTTAGTCCTTTTTCCTCTTCATCTCCCCCCTCTTCTTCTTTTCCTCCTCTTTTATCACTTTTACATTTATATATATATATATATACATATATATTATTACTATCTTATTTATTTATTTTTATTTTTTATCTTTTTTCAACCCTTTCGTATCTTTTATTTGGGTTCATCTACCACCGACCTGAATTAATTTGGGATAAAGGTGTTGTTGATGTTGATGATACTGTATATTTCATTTAATATTCAATAATTTAACAAAAAAATGAAACTAAACTAAATAATATCCATCAACACGTTATAAAGGAGGAAGCTTTAATAAAAGAACAAGATCTGAGATGAGAGAGAGAGATCAAATCAAATTAGAGAGAAGGAGACACAACAAGAGCGTAACAGGAATGATAACGATATTGTTGAGATGATCTATTATCTACTTAAGGGGAAAAAAGGCAATTTTTTTTTGATATGATCAGGTGGAAGCTTTATTAATATTTTTTAATTTTTAATTTTTTTTTTAAATATAATATATTTATGAAAATGCCATTTGACCGTGTTGGAGCGTGTCAGACACGGTCAAATTCGCGTGTCGAAATGGTCAACGTGTTGGGAATGTCGGACACGACACTCCCTATTTTTTGGAGTGTTCGTACTAGCTACTCCTAATAATGTAGACACCTCACTAAAGTCACGGACCATTGTTTCCGCTTTGAGCCAATGGAATTGCTAGTCCATGAGGTTAAAGGATATTTCTGTTGAAAATAGGGCTTTGGTAGAGAAAAAAGGAATACTCAATATGAGAAGATCATATTGATATGGTATGTATTAATATGATACAAAATGCTGACTCAATGGTCCTATTTATATTAATAATTAGGTCTAGTACAAATTTAGTACTCATACTAAAAGCCCGACCATTGATGCAACACGACGACTAACCCAAACTAAATAAGGAAACAAATCATAAAACAACAAACAAGAAACAAATCCTAAGATTGCTTCCTCAATTAGACGACTAATTGATTCCACAATATATTCTAAAGACATTCTAAGATATTACAAATATTATGAAGATATGTGTTACATTCCAATTGCAAGGTATGAGACTTGATCCCACATCGGAAACATAAGGGTCTGGTGTGGGGTTTATATGGACTTTGTGCTCTCCTACCTTACAAGCTAGCTTTTGGGGTGAGGTCCTCCCAAGGTTCGTATCAATTGGTATTAGAGTCTTCCATTATGTTTCCTAGTTGCAATCGAGTGGTGCGACTGGTGGCGCTGGCATCGCAGTGTTCGCCCAGGGCTAGTAAAAGACTAGCGCAAAGTCAGACCACATGGACGCCGAGGCTGCGAAGCGTGGCGGGATGTTACAATCCTATTGCAATGTATGAGATTTGGAGTCCCACATTGGAAACATAAGGGTCTGGTGTGGGGTTTATATGGACTTTGGGCTCTCCTACCTTATGAGCTAGCTTTTAGGGTGAGGCTCTCCTAAGGATCGTATCAATTGGTATCAGAGCCTTCCACTATATCTCCCAGTTGCAATCGAGCAGCGCTGCTAATGAAGCTGGCATTGCAGTGTTCGCCCAGGGCTAGTAAAAGACTAGCGCAAAGTCAGGCTGCATGGGAGCCGGGGCTACGGAGGGTGGTGGTATGTTACAACCCAATTGTGAGGTATGAAATTTGAGTCCCATATCAGAAATATAAGGTTTGATGTGGAGTTTATATGGACTTTGGGCTCTTTTACCTTATGAGCTAGCTTTTGGGGTGAGGTTCTCCCAAGATTCGTATCAATATGTTAAAATACCCTCAATCTATGATGCATGGGTACTCCTAAATAATTTCTGTATTCATACATGTTAGGTTCACATGGATATGTACCCAACACTTATCACTCAAGTACAAATCAGTTCATTCAGAACACCAAGTTTTGTTGCTAATGTTGTCTGGTTTGTTACTGAAAGAAAGAAACTGCTACTTTACTCCCTTCAAAACTTGTGCCATCTTTAGATATTTTTGTTACTTGAGTTAGGACATTATGAAAATTGTATTTATCTTATGATTTCAATACTTTAATATTTATGTTTTTCTATTTTTATATAATAGATCCTTCCATACCCCGTACTTTAGTTTTAGAAATTGTTGTACCCCATACCCATGCTAATACCGGTAGTCGTACATGTATGCTGACAACACAGCTCTCAAGATACTTTTAAGATATTCTTAACAATTTCCATGCTTCCCCTGCCGTCTTTTAAAAAGTTTTCTTGCTTGATCTTAGCTGAACTAGGGGGAAAAAGCATAATTAGACAGATCTTGGAAATGCCTTTTTTAAAAAAGCCTTTGTAGTTTGTACTATACTGGCTCTTTTTTTAAAAAAATAAAAAAACTTCTTCTGGTACTAAATATCATTTACCTTGAACTTTTCTATGTTCTGTTACTACCCGGATTTTCTTTTTTGATAACTAGATTCTTTCAACTTCTGTGAATTCCAGGATTTGAGTCCTACTTAGTAGGAGGGTGTGTGAGAGATCTACTACTAAATAGAACTCCAAAAGATTTTGATGTGATCACCACAGCAAAGCTTATGGAGGTTTTGTGACAACAATTCAATTTATTAACTATATGGGAAGGACAATATACATTTGTAGTGAGTTTTAATGTTTTTTTTTTCTCTCCAATGATATCTGACAGGTGAGAAAGCATTTTCGTCGTTCAGCTCGTGCTGAAGTTGTTGGACGGCGTTTTCCAGTATGCCTGGTTCATATAAAAGGTTCTGTAGTAGAGGTTTGTTTATTGAGTAGTTATACAAGGTTATATCTGTACATTTTTTAAGCTACAAATTACATGTATGATTTAACGTGCTCTCCATTTGGAGATCCTTCTTTGATTAATGTAATTTCAATAAATTAATTAACCAATTTATTTATATTGGATAAGGTAACCAGTTTTGAGACAGTGGCACAAACTTCCAAAGGGAAGGAGCGATCTTTATATTTTCAGCTGCCCAAATGCAGTAATAGAGAAGACTTAATTCGCTGTAAAAACTCCTTGCACAGGGACTTCACAATTAATAGGTACTGTTGGGTTTTTGTTTTATTTATTTATTTAATTTTTTATAACTTGTAGGGAATCTATTTGTTTGTATACGTAGCTTCAAACTTTTTCTTTCTCTTTTCAATGGGTTTTTTGATTATGTTACAAAGGATCGGAAGTTGCAGTAAGTATTAGTGTTTATCTTTGGTGTTTCATTTTTATCCATCTTATTAATCCTTTTCTTACTGTGGAAGCAGTTTATTTTATGATCCTTTTGACAATAAAATCTACGATTATGCCAATGGAATGGCCGATTTGAGGTCCTTTAAGGTAACTCTTTATTGGATTTGTTGATGAACCTTTACACCCTGAAGCATGATTGTAACTTGTAATTATGCTGATATGTAATTATGCTTGTTGATATGGATTCAGCTAGAAACTGTGATCCCTGCTCAGCTGTCCTTTAAAGAGGATCCTGGTAGGTAGTATCATACTCTCATTAGCATGAACATTGACCATATTAATTAACATTTACTATGAAAATGATGTTGCATGTGAAACCTCTGTGCAGGGAGAATTTTGCGCGGCTTTAGAATTGCAGCTCGTCTAGGTTTATCATTATCAAAGGAGACTGAGGCTGCAATCTGGACATATTCATCACTAGTTAAAAGCTTGGACAAGGTACCTCAAATGGAATTTTATGATGATGGTTTGCTGCCTGAATTTGGCATAATATTTTTTCTTTCATCGTTTAGTTTTACTGATATTGCTTCTCCTTGTATTTGTTGTCCATGGGCTGCGTAGAAATGCTGCCTTTTTTTTATTATTGCACTTCATCATTATTCTTGTTATTGACAATTGGGAAGGGTAAAACTGTCTATTACTGAACATACTCATAAGGTTTTGCTTTTGGATATCAAAGTAATTATAGATTTATAGTTTTAGCTTCTTCACTCACCCTGCTGCTGTTCTTTATATATTTCAGAATAAAATAATGATTGAATTGAACTATATGCTATCTTATGGAGCTGCTGAGCCATCTCTGCGCTTGCTCTGGAAATTCAACCTGCTTGAATTTTTACTTCCTGTGCATGTAAGTCTAATTGAGTTGCTGACTTTAAGTTTTCTAATAATATGCCTATCAGCCAAATACAAATGTTACTCATTAGTTGGTTATAGGCAGCATATCTTGACGAACAGACAAGTAAAGAAGATGCTCAGGCTTCCAACATGTTAATGGTAAGCTAGATTTGTGAAATAATTGTAGAACGTGCTTTTAATGATATGATTTTGATTAAATGAACGCAAATGCCAAAGTCATTACAAGCAGAAGGAATATGCTACAATAAGTTGATAGTTCACAGTTAACTGGATCACTATTTGAATGCTTTGATGTTTAATAAACAAATATTGCTAAAAATAATTAAATATCTGGTGTCATTCAAAATATAATTATTTGATCAGTGAACATTTTGAGTAACTTAAAACTTTGAACTGTAAGGACATAGTTGGAGAAGATTATTGCTACTTCTCTGATAATTGGAGAAGAATTTGCTTTTTAAAACTGAAGATAAGTTGGATAGTTTAAATGATGTTACTTACTCTTACAGTACGCCAATCCAACATTAAGAAACATAGACTATGAAGAGGTTCTCACATATTCTTAGGCTATGCTTGTATGAGTAGGTGGAAAATTAGATATGTAGTTTGTCACAATAAAGTCTAGATGAAAGATAAGAATATAAAGATAACATGTATGAAGACTTAATTGCGTCCCAGTGCAGTATTATTTTTCACCTTCTCATTTCCACCTACTCAAACAAGCGTTGCCTTAGTCACTATGATAACAAGTGTACTTATCAAACTTTTAGGCTTTCACTTATGGTGCTGTTACTTTTGCAGAAATTATTCTTCCATCTGGATAATGTGGTTGCTTGTGATCGACCTTCTGATTGCACTCTCTGGTGAGTGATTGCTAGTTCTGTTTGTTACACGAATCCTCTCTCTAAAAGGAAAAAAATAAATCCAATTGACCCTAAGATCTTAGGACTAATTTTCCTGCAACCAGGGATGTAGGGACAACTTTAGGATGTAGGTACGAGCAAGAAAGAATATCTAATGAGACTGTAAAGAACCAATTCAACCCAAAAGCTTAAGTTATTGGGTGAGGTTATATTAATGATTTTATATATCTCAACACGCCCCCTCACACGAGAGCCCACTGGGCTTGAAGGGTGGACAATGCACAGGCCCACCTGTGCAAATAAAGAAATTCCACTTGAAAGAAAATGGGGGGCGGCGAGGATCGAACCCGGGACACGAGGCTCTGATACCATGTAAAGAATCAATTCAACCCAAAAGCTTAAGCTATTGGGTGAGGTTACATTAATGATTTTATATATCTCAACAGAGGCATTAAAGCTTTAGAGAGGATATTCTCACTACCAAAATTTTCCACTACCAACTTACTACTAATTTAATTACCATTAGATCAAAGAGAGAGAATGTCAAAAAGTTTTTGAAGAGAGAGAAAATATTAATCTAATGGTGATTAGATAGGTAGTAAGTTAGTAGTGGAAATTTTTGGTAGTGAGAATATCCCTCCTCTTAAAGCTTATATCAAGTAGCAGAGCTAATTTGTGAAACTTTACATGAACGCTATTGGATCAAATGACAAAGACATTGTTGATAAAAAGATGGCTTTTCCCGGATGAGATGGTTGTTGCTATCTGCTCCAATAACGAATAATTGGTTTAACTGAATAACTAAATAAAATAGCTGAATAACTAAATAAAATAGATCATGAATGTTCGGAATCCATATTATGCAAGGAGACATTACTTTTGCTAATTCGAATTGAAGGGTGAGATAAAATCGGTTTATTTCCGGCATCATATCCATAGGTAGCACATTCATCATAGTTAGTCGAATTACTTATCCTTCGGTCTATTAGTGAACTATCTCTCCAGGGATTGTGAAAGATGTTCCACTAGAAATATTCTTGTTATTGCTTCGACTAGCTTTGTATGTTTTTCTAGCTAGTCTTTAGGTAACTGGGGAATTAGTACTAAGTCTAGTTTTCAAACATTCGATGCTAGTAGTAAGTCTAGTTTTCAAACATTCGATGCTCCTGTCTGTGTAACTGGGTTTTAGTTGTTTGATACCATATATTATATAGACGATTTTAGGTGCTTGAAACTGTATGTGTGACTGAAAATTCATGCAAATTTCAATCAACCGTCTAGCTTAGCTGACTTGGTGACTAACATGGCAGATGAAGGCTAAGTATTGTGAAAATGTTTCATCCCATTTTGGCAAATAAAAACAACCAACAAGGTAAGCCAAGAAAGAAGTCAGCATAACATAATGGTGTCATTTACAAACAAGGGTCATTAAATCAAACCTCCTTTCTCTCTGTTCCCTAGATAGCAACTCTGACACAGTTCTGAATGTCTTATCGATTATTTTTCCAAAGCTACCCGCCCTACTAAAAAAATTCGCAACCAAGGGACATGCCAAACACCTACCTTTCCAACTAAAAACTTTGATCATATTAGAGAAATATAATATAAAACCATTAATGTGGCCTTCACCTAATTGCTTAAGCTTTTGAGTTGAAATGGTCTATTATATAATATCAGAGCCTTTGTGACTAAGCCAACACAAGTTCGATCCTCATCATCCCCATTCTATTATAAATAATTAAATATTGTGGAGTTTCTCATCAGAGATTGGTGGACCTGTGCACTGTCCACCCTTCAATCTCAAACCCAATTGGTTCTTGTCTGAAGGGGCATGTAAGAGAAATATAATATAAAACTATTAATGTGACCTTCATCTAACAGCTTAAGCTTTTCGATTGAAATGATTCATTACAGATCACCATATTGAAAAGTGACTACAACAATGGTACTTTTTCCCCTTCTTTTTGGGATGGTTCATCTTTAATGTCTTTGAAAGGTAAGAGCATAGTTAGAAAGGGCAAATATTGGAACATTTTGGGTTTGGTGATTTCCATCTAAAAAGATTAGGTCTAGGATAGAGACATACAATTATAAAAAAAATCCTCTTTATAATCATATACATTCTTGTTCCTCATTCACTTTCTCCCAAAATGAATGGATTAACACTTGCACTAGGCTATCATAATCGTGAGTATTCGATGAACCCTAGATTCCACGCCATCAACGAGTCATTTCCTAATACTTATATTCATTTTGGTTCACTTTAGCTTGAAAATAAGTTATTAGGAGCATGAGTTGCTCAGTTTTTTTTTTTTTTTTTGACTTAAAAGTTACTTTAAAGGTAAAGCTAAAAATAATACCTTAAAAGTTAAAACTAAAGTTATTTGATGATTATATAATTTTTTTTAATTTAAAAGCTACTTTTGTAACACCCTCTATAGCTAGCTAGCATAAAGAATATAACATTAATCTTAAGTAATACTTTAAATAAAAAAATAAGAATTATGAAAGAATAAAGGGATATAAAATTCTAAAGCAACGGTTATAAAAGAAGGCAAATGACAGAGCACCCTTAAAGTTAATTATACATTAGATAGAGTTAAGTACATTGATTTATGGTGACTAAAACTATTTCACAATAGTGGTTATGGCACGCAAGCCATCTAGTTAATCAAGATTAATTCCCACTCTTATCTATTCGTTATTAAGTAGGAACTTTATCTAAACCTTCACATATTTAGTCATCCAGATTAAAAGGAAATGTTTTTACCCTATCATGGTAGAAAACTACAGCTGCACCATGAGTGTCTACAATCACCCGGAACTCTGTTTGGTCTTCGAAGTCGTTAATTAGTATGCTCCAACCTTCTCCGATGATACATATACTAGGCATTTTTATTCTCTGGAAGGGTTAGCATAAAAAACACAAATATGAGATAAATCTCAGTAATATTGAAGTTTTCAAACTATAACCAATCCAGCTGCTATAACGGAAATTATCATTCTCTCTAAGCATGTTTATGATAAGAAAATATATATTTCAATAATAACTGGAATAATAAATATAGAAGAGAACATGTAATTTTTAACTGAAACTACTAATGCCCAGCCTCTGAGAGTCTTTGAATGTGAAAGGTTACTGTGTGGCCGAGCTCAAAACCAATTAAGGCGTTTCTTACAACATTATCATCTATTCCGAATTTCCTTGGGTTAATTCACATCAGAATCATTCAGTTAAAGATTATATATTTTTTTTAATATTCTTTTGGTATGGTACCAAAGGAATACAAATCAATTAGTTCCATAGTCTTGATCCAATACCATCTTTATAACCAATATGAACAGATCCATCAAATCCATAAAACCAAAGTTTAGACGATTAAACCAAATGGTAGAAGATAAAACCAAAGTGTAGAAGAATTCTATAAGAAAATGGTTTGGGTCATGGTAAGGACACCTCCACAACTTATAGAAAAACAACTTCCCCAATACCAAATATAAACATAGAAATAGATGAAAAATAGTGAATTTCAAAGAATGAAGTTCACTCCCAACATTACTTTTCCCTTTTTGCTTCTATCTTTCTCTTTCCCTCTTTCTTTCATGTTGCCCCCCCTTCATGCCATATCTTTTTTTAAATATTATTTTATTATTATTTTTAATTATTATTATTTTTTGGATGTTACAACTTTAAAGTTCAAGCAATATCAAACGTAGTCATTTGCCTCCCTCACCACGGCTTCCATCTTCGACCTCAAATTCTTGTCCTTCATGTTGGTGATTTTCTTTCCCCTCATTTTGTGCGCAAAACGGCGGCAGCGGGGAAATCGTTGGAGAGGCAATCAATGAGAACCCTTTCCATGGAATCATGCAAGAGATGCAATTCCTTACCTTTGCTGAGAATCTCTCCCACGGTCAATTCCATGTACATGATTCTTTAATTGGTATTGTAAAGAATAAATTCAACCCAAAAGCCTAATATGTTGGGTGAAGCCCACATTAATAGTTTTACATTATATTTTTCTAACACGCCGACTCACAAAAGAGTCCATTGGGCTGACAATGCACAAGCCCACCTATATATGTTAAGAAATTCCACAATATTTAATTATTTATTAATAGAATGGGAGCGGTGAGGATTGAACTTGTGATTACTTGGTTACAAAGGCTCTGATACCATATAAAGAACCAATTCAACCTATAAATTTAAGTTGTTAGGTGAAGGCCACATTAATATATTTATATTATATTTCTCTAATAGGTTCTATCTCGGTGATAGAGACGAGGAAGATTTTGTTGATGATGATGTCCCCAACTTCCTTTGGAGTCTATTGGGTTTTCACCGCAACTATGGGTGAAGCTCAGAGCAATCGATTGAATTGTGTTCTTTAGTTTGATTTTGATTTTTTCTATAGAAAAAAAAAATTTAAACCTCAACTAGCGAGGGTAGGGGTGACTGAGTGAGGACAATCCTTGTGCGTAGTCTTATCCTTGTATATTTGAAAATAGGTTTTTTCTCGAATTTGAACCTATGACCTTTTAGTCAAGAAAGAGCAATTTTACGACTACACCAGGCTCACCCTCTTTAATTTTCTTATAGAAAATGTAAAAAGAATAAATCAAGGATTTTGTCCTTGGGGTTTTCATTTTAATGGGATTTTTTTTACTTTTTTTGTTTTGTTTATGAGAAACAAAAAAAAAGGTGGGAGGTGGATCTTGTCATACCGAGAGAAATAAATGGAATTGAGTGAGAGTGAAAGAGAATCCGGATGCTCCTCATAGAAGCTTCTAAAACGAAGCTTGTTTTTTCACTTTTCTTCATTAAAAAATAGCTCCTTTTATTAAGAGCTTTTCTATAATATTATTTGGAGCGGTTTTGTGGTTTTAAGCAGAAGAGAAACTGAAAATAAGCAAGGCCAAACAGGCACTAGTATTTATAGATGAGCTTGATTTTCAGTTAACAATGGATCTCTCCTTGCTAAACAATTAACAATTTTTCCACCAGTGTGCCCATGCTGTATTGACAACATATTGGGCCATATGGAAAGTATATTCCTGCAAAATATTAAAATGGAAAGTATTACCTGATATGTATTTTTGCCATATCCAGTCTGTGAATGTAATTGGCACATGCAAAATCTGCGTTTGGTGCAACTTTTTGAAATGCCTTCGTAGGAGATATCATAAGTATGACTACTGAGGATAGTCGAAACAACTACTCATTGTGAGTCACTTTTAGTAATAAATGTATGTTCTAATTCATTAATCATGTTAGGTACCAGGGCAACAATCAGCTGTTGATCTAGTTGCGAAATCTTTTTTTCTTATTAGGTTTTTGTGGGTGGAGGTGGAGATGGGGAACAACTGATTTGTTCAATCTTATTTTCTGTTGTAGCTTGGATGGATGTTGTTGTTTTTGAATTTATATATCTCCTTCACTCATGGGTGTTTGAGACACCATTGTATATTTGTACATGTTACAGGATTGGATTGCTAGCCTTTCACCTGGCATTAGTAAATAACCCTCAAGATGCTCTTGTGGTGTGGGCGCTTGCTTCTGTTCTCTATCATGGGGAGTGGGAAGAAGGTGTTAAATTTGCTAAAGAACGTGAAAAATTGTGTGTTAATTTTGCACCTGAAATAAGGAGGTCCAATGTATACAAATCAGATGAAGAAATTGCAAAAGCAGTCGCTAAATTGGCATCTTTGGTGATGGACTCCTTACGTGCTCTGGTTGAGAATAATAGTCTTCTTCAATCCATGTCTAGATACCCTTCTTTTCCACGGTCTGGCATGGTAAGTAAATTAATTTTGGTATATATACTTTTAGATAAGGTTTGAAAATTGCGTGGCTGGTTGATTGCGTAGTAGTTGCAAAGGGATCAAGTTCTGTTCTAATTGACTGAGATATTCAAACATGCCATAGGGTTTTTGTGATAATTGTTTCTGGTTAGACCTTACTAATGGTTTGTCTGGGCTTTGAAATTTAAAGTAGTTCTAATATCATGTAAAGAACAATAAGAAATTTTTTTTACTCAAACGTAGCTCAACATAAAATATGAATACACCCGTTCAAAAGAGATATTATGTCACTAAATAAATGGATAGTATATGGAGAGCTATAATTGACTGAACATAATTCATAAATATCCCAGCTTTTGTGCCCCAAAGCGCAATATTTTGGCAGACCTCAGTTCATAGGTATTATTTTCAGGCAGCTGCCCTGCTTTTAATCACAGATAAGTTTCTATCATAATGGTTAATCAGATCTTGAGATTAGTCAACTCATTTCATGTCAATCTTTACTTGCATTGTCATATTTCATGTATTGATTTCATGTGATCTTGGGATTTAGTTTTGATTCCGGGCATAAAAATATAAAGTTGGTTAATGTTCAGTCTGAAGCAACCAAATTTAGACAGACATGTTTTTTGGCTCCCTTTCCGTCATAACAAGGCGTGAGAATAGGCAAAATAAAAATTGATAGTATCAATGTCAAAGAATGGAAACTTAGTTGTTTTCTCCTGACTGTGATCTGAGAACAATGTTCTGAATCTTCTGATGATCTCTGGATTTTAGCTTCTTCAGAAAATATTTCTACTGTATCTTTGGAAACTTAATTGGTAGCTTATAGTTGCATTTTTTGCATTTTCAAATAATATCATGAAGTAAGAAAAGGAGAAAACTGTATCTAAGTAAAAGCTTAGTTTCGTGGTCTCTGACATTTAGTCTATTTGCACTAGCTACAAACTCCTCTTAAAGATTAACGTGATTTTTCTTTTCAAGTAACTTGTTCATGAATAACGTAGCATCGGAAAAGAGAAAAACATACATTTTTCTTTTGATGAAAGAAATAAAGGTTTGAATGCAAGTAGGCAACAGTCAACAAACATCAGATGGCTTAATATGAAATTGGAATGAGGCTGTAGATAATTTTGCCTTTCTCTAACGGGCTTATGATCATATTTCCTTCCTAACCTATTACCAAATTCATATAATACCTAATTCTAAACTTGTCCCTTTAGTTTTGATTGATTCATCTTTTACCCGTCTGTAAATCAATCATTTATGTCCATTTGAAGATGTGTTACATTGTGGTAGTTCATACCTCCAATCCAGTTGAAAAGTTTGCGACTTTCAGGTATTTGTACCAAGGAAAACAGGGAAACTTGTTTCTGCAATTTTTGAAGCGCTGGTCAATGATGTTGAGTTTTATAGGAGTGAAAGAAAAAGTTCAGAAATAAATTATGAGATGCTTGGCAGGGGCCATCTTTCAGAGACTGGATTTGTTTTTGGCAAAATTGTTCTTGAAACTATGAGCAGTGGAATTGTTGGGGACGGGGAGGATTTTGAGGCTGAAAAACTTCATCTTAAGACTGAGGGCACCAAGGAAATTGGCCAATTGCAACTTTCGAATCGAGTAAATTATCAATTGGTGGCAAGGAAAGATAAAAGACAAGTTTTATCAAAACCAATTCCAGAACGTATGCAAAGAAAAATCAAGAAACATAAATTGGCTGAGAATGGATGCATTGCTGAGCAGAAAATGGGTTCGGCAAACCATGTGGTGTTTGAGAAATTTGAGAACAAGGAAACCAATGAACAGAACCAGAAGCTAGTTAAGTTATACCAGAAGGTTGATCTATCCATGACGAGAGAGACTACGCCAAAAAAGGAAAGTAGTCACAAAAAACAGCTGATAAATGATAGGAAGAAAAGTGCCAGTGCCAGCAAAAGTTCTTTAGACCAAACTATGCACTTGAAGATGGATGATCACAACACGTGTACATTATCACAATCTGAAGTGTCTACGAATCATCAGGTGATAGCCAACAACTGTAACATAAACGTTGATGCAGAAACAACAAATGAGCCAGACTTAAAGAAGAAAAAATTGCACTTATCACTACATGAAGTCTTCAACGAGAAAGAAAGACAGCAACCACATAAAAGTAAGCAAAGTCTGCCTCCACTCTCCAGTCTCTTCAAGTAATGAATAACAATTTTTGGTAGCAGAAGGTATTTTATTTCCTCCAGTATAGTTTAGAGACAAAACTTATCTAGTCTTCCTTCATTGCATAGGAAGCAGATGAAACAGAATTGAGCCTCTTACTCCCTTTTGTCCTTAAAAACTTTAGATGGCTTAAAACTAGGCATTCAGCTCCTCTAGATTGTTCTTATGCTTATATTTCATAAGGCTCTCCTGGGTGTGTATCTTGCTGCCATTAGGAGATACCCCTTCCCTTCACCTTTTATTGTAACGAAGAACAAGGGAAGAGTGTTGTTTTAGGTTCTCTGTAAACTGCAACTTAATACAGTGTAGTTGGACAAAGAAACGATATTATATGGGCGATTACAGAATTCATTATGTAAACCACTTAAAAAGGATATAAACCTTTAGAGAGATGGAAGTGAGTAATAATTTATCTTGATTTCCTGCAAGGATGAATGAAAATTACGTTGTGTATGAAGTTATTTGATGACTTAAATAGGAAGAAATACTAGGACTTGCATTTAGGTATTGAACTAGTTTGAGATAAAAACTTCCAGCTCAAACACGTTTTAATGAATGAAAAGTACTTTAATACCTTGTTATTGGCTCATTAACTTGACCATGAACATTAGTTCTTGTAGAGATTAATAAAGGAGTTTTACACTCTGAGTTCGGCCAACTCAACTCGGATTAATTGAAACTTAACATAATATTTTATTACTTAGAGCCTAAAAAATTAAAATCTCTTTTTTTTCCCTTACATATTTAGTATTTTCTTCTTAGATATTTATTTCCACCTTGTTAGATCTTGTGCATGTAATGGTTTATTTTTTATTTTTTTGAGATATTTCAATTGGTTCATCGCTTTACGACTAGTCCGATTTGGGGCAGGTCTTGGAATTAAGGTTTCGCCGACAGAGCTATCATTATTTGGTTGTAATGGGTTGCTTTTAACATTTTTTTAACTTTAAATTTTTGTTCCTGTGCTCTGTTATTTAGGCTTTTTATCGTTTGTCATATTTTAAACTCTAAATATCTCCTCAAAATAAGACGAAAAAAATCAATCTTATTAATGTGGCAAAATATGCTTACATGGTTGTTGTGGTCGATATTTATGTAGACCTCTGCTCTTTGGCATTTTCAATTCAAGAATCAGGTCTGGTGCCAGAGATTTTTATGGCAAGAGAGTAGAGTCGAAGTAAGAAAAACATTTATGGTATTTTAACGAAGCCTTTAATGTTTTTAAAATGAATGTAGATAAGTTGTCTATATTCGCTTCCAAAACGATGTCGTTTTGGTTTGAAAAATTAAAAAATTATAATGAAAAAGACTATTATAATCCTGAAATAAATTATAATTATAAAAATACTTTGATTTCTGCCTCATAACTACATCATTTTAGGCTCAATGTAGATAAATTATCTACATTAGCGGTAGAAAAAACGAGCCCTTTAATGAATATTGTTAGTTTCTTAAATGAATTTATAACAAAAGATGGCTTTTATGGGAAATAATTATCTCATGTTGCATGAGATAATTATCTCATGCATTAAATACGAATAAATCTTTGGTGTTACTGTTGCACCAAAGGATCGGTACATCCCACCAATAGAAATATTAGATGTCAGTTAAAGTTTTCTTTTTTCTGCCAAATTTTTTCTCTCTCCTATGATGTGTAATACTTCCATTGGTGGGATGCACTGAATTTTGGTGCAACAGTAGCACCAAACATTTATTCACTAGATACAAATGGGATGTGAGATCCACTTTAAAATTTCTCTCTCTTCTTTATTCTCTCTCCTCTATCTTCCATATATGGGCTTTTTGATCCTTTTGCCCCTCATTTATTAATTAATAACCAATTTGCCCCTGATCAAGAACTATCCACCAACCTGCCCCCTTTTAGTCGACTACCTTGCTGTTTTAGTCGAGCAAATGGTCAATCTTCAGAAAGTGGACTACCGCAAATGTAGTCGACTAAAAAATCATCTTAATCGACTACATTTTTGGGATATTTAGTCGACTAAGTAACGATATTTAGTCGACTAAATGTCGACTGAAACCCTATAATTTCCATGTTTTCGGTCTCATTTCAATTGTTGTTGTTGTGTAAACCTAAATAGCTCCCTTTGTTCATGTGTAATCCTCTCAATCCGATTGTATTTCATCCCACTATCTCTACAGACCTAATATTGTGAAATCATTGTCATTGCCCAATTCCAAACCCACATAATGGGAATGTCATGTTCCAACACCCTGGAATGATTAAAAGATCGCGGAAACAGAACGTGGGTGAGGACATAGTGTAGTATACGGGACTCCACAGAAAGCAACCCCACCGTATAGTGCAAGTGTTCCCCACGGACTCTTCTCTGCTCCTGCACGGCATCCTCTCGTACATATCCTGGAAGTACTACACCACTATCAGCGTCATACGCCACAGTCTGAGAAGAGTCAAAATCATAGCCGAGTATCTCCAACCATGCAGGTGTCGTCATGATGATCTCTATTCCACAGACCCTCGACCTCAGCTCGCCCTGTACGTAGCTGAGGTTATGGTAGAAGGCCCGCACCATAAGCTCTGAATACGGACATAGGGTCTCGGCCAACACCCTCAGATGTGCCGCCTCCAACACCCCCACAATTTCAAATCCCTCCTTATCAAAAAAGGCTGTATCCAAAGATTTTGGAGCACATAACGGCCGGTTCAAATGGTCACGTACGAATGAAGCGTGGACGACAGGGTCGTCCTCAAACAGATACCCATACGGGAGGTCAACAGTATCAGGCTCTTCGTCTTGTCGCCTTGACGAAGAAGGCCGCTCTTGCCTATGCTTGGTGCGTCTCTCAAGTGACTCATTGCCCTCATCGCTTGGTCTTCTGCGGCTCGTCATTTGTTTAGGGTACCTACAATGAAACATGTCAGCATTTAACTATATGAAACATGTCATGATGGTAATGAAAACTTGCAACATAAGGGCTGTAAACCAAAAGCAAACTTTTGCCACATACAAACTTTTCAAACAAAAAAATTCACACAATGCAAAAAAATAAACCTTAGTAGATTAGGGTTACAAAACCTACAACAAACGCTTTGATTAGAGTTCACAAATTCGGACAACAAACAAATAAAAAAAATTCCTAAACCTAAAACACAATGCAAGTTAAGAAACCTTACCTATCCTTCAGATTTCACGATTTGGACCGTATTTGGGGCCAATCCACACGCCTAAGGGAAGGGTTTGGGGCGTTCTTCAGCTGCTCCTGCGGATTTGGGGTTTGGGCCGCCTCCTTAGTCGATTAGGTCATCCTACTCCCCCTCTGCCGAATGGGGGGTTTTTAAAAAACAAATCCGTCGATATTTAGTCGACTAAATATCGTTACTTAGTCGACTAAATATACCAAAAATGTAGTCGATTAAGATGATTTTTTAGTCGACTACATTTGCGGTAGTCCACTTTCTGAAGATTGACCATTTGCTCGACTAAAACAGCAAGGTAGTCGACTAAAAGGGGGCAGGTTGGTGGATAGTTCTTGATCAGGGGCAAATTGATTATTAATTAATTAATGAGGGGCAAAAGGGTCAAAAAGCCTCCATATATGTGTATAGGAGATTCTTTTTCTCTTATGTTAAATGAGAAAAACAATCCCGGTTTTTATATGCTAATTATATCAATCCTACTTCTTTATAAATTTTAGATATCAATAAATTTGTTTATCATTATGTGAAATCAATAATAAAATTCGAAGTCACATGAACATGCATGAATAAATTTTTTAAATATATTATATTGTGATAATTTTGTTATTTTATTATAATTGTTGTTATTACTACTGCTATTATTATTATTATTACATTCCACTTTGCATTTTAATCGTGTAAATTAGAATTAAAAATAATTTTAAAGAGCAATAATTTGATACATATAAAGAAAATGTATCTTTAATTTTAAGTTTCTCGCTAACTTTGGAAATTGAAAAATCCAAATATTAATTTTTGTAAATAAAAATACGTTGGCTATATAAAATTAGAGTACAAGTTTTAAATTTACTTATTGAAATTTAATTTAAGATCACAAGGAATTTTCATGCACATCTTGAAATCTTGCAAAGGTTGAACAATTACTTTCAGTTTATCTATCTTTTCACAATTCTCGATGGATAAATTATGGAGTAATTGAATATATTTTTCACAAATATAAAAAGTACATAATAAATTTACAAGTTTATGGAGTAAGGCTTCCTTTGTTATTTATATTGACTAATATGGCAGGTATTTAAATGTAAATTAACAAGTAAATATATTCGTGGGAAAAGCTTTTCCCAAGTGAAGCACTAATATATTTTTAATTTATAATTGAAGGGTTTATTGTTTCTCAAATTTATCTCCTACACGCAGAACCCTTTTTCATAATTTTTTTTCTCATTTCTCTTTATTATATTTCTTTTTTTTCTTTATTTGCTTCTTCTTCCACCAAATTTTAAACATTCTTTTAAAAATTTGATAAAACTTTGAAGTCCTATCGTTTCCTTTCTCTTGAAAGCAAATTTGGGTGATGTTTTAAGGTTAAGGAAAGTGCTATAAGGAGGAAGGAGTGCAATCCATTCCTTAAAGATTAACTTTTTGAATTATTTGAGATAAATCCATTATTCAAAAATTTGAGAAAATTCACATTTTTACAAAGATTTGTTTAGCGGACAGCGGTAGATGCATATAGCATCATATTTATGGTTTGTGACATTTAAAATTTCTATAAATGTTGGGTATAATCTTAATATGAAATATTTGATTTAAAATAATGAGATTTGATAATTTCACTTATTATTGAAAATGAAATGTTTTGAAGAAAAAATTGCTTTGTTAAAATGTTTTTTATATATTTTTAGGATCCATGTTAGAATCTTGTAACCAATGTTGTTAAAATCGAGATTTTAAGTAAAATCGGAAGGGGATTAAAAAATCGTAAAATCGTAATGTAAAAAAATCGTAAAAACGTTTGGAATATTAGTAAAATTATTTTGATAAAAAAAATCGCAAAAACGTAAAATCATAGTGATAAATCGAGATTTTAACAACAATGTTTGTAACAATTAGCAAGGGGTAACAGTGTAGGTGCACCTTTGTATATAAATATTTATTCTGGGAGAAGAGAGTTATCCGTTAGATGGAGTTGCCCCAAAAGAGAGGTCAGCTCTTGGAGGAGAAGGCCATTAGCGAGATGAAGTCACCCCCAATGGAGTGACTCCTGGGAAAAAAGTCACCCTTAGGAGAAGAGGACTTTTAACAAGGTGGAGCTGTCATTGCTTGATCCTCTCATGTGTAATCCCTATCGTAATAAATTTATGATTGTA